CTCCCTCTGTTTCAAAATGTAAGTTGTTTTGGCTAAAAGTACGAATATTAAGAAACTACTATTCTTCTCAAAAGTATCAACTTATATATATAATAAAAATAATTTAACCAATGAAAAAAGCGACTGCAAAATACTATTGGTCACACAATAGTCAATAAAGTTAAAAAGTATATAGGATTATCAAAACAACTTATATTTTGAAATATAAAAAAACCTTCAAAACAACTTATATTTTGAAACGGAGAGAGTAATATTTAAGAAACCCAACAAAAATTCAAGGATAATGATGCTCTTAGTTAGTCTTATTCAGCCCATCCTACATTCATCTTCTCCAAAATTGTTGCTTGTTGCACCAAAACATATGTGCTCTTAACTATGTATACTCCATATTAAACCAAACTAATGGCAAGAGGAAGAACCACATATGTTTATTAAAACGTTTTTTTTAAAAACAATAATAACAGAAAAACACGGATCGATGACGTGGATTTCACTCATTACGTTCGTCTTCCAGTTCCCAAATTTTTGATAAGTGTTGTTTTAGGTGATCTTATTGGGTCCTAAAGAGAAGATAAAAAGCTAGGCCCAAAAACTTAATATTGGGCTACATTTCCGTCCCCCTACACCTTTAACGAGAGAGAGAAGAGGTTCCTATCGATTTTTCGTTTCTCTATGGCCGTGACCGTCGCCTCCATCTAATTTCTCTCCGATCTCTCTCTCCGGTGAGTTCTTATTTCTTCTGCTAGGAGATATGGCTTGCTACTTGTTTGGAAGACTGAGATTTGTGTTACATTGAATGTTACATTGGAAGACTAAGCTAACTTTTTTTTCCTCGCATTACATTCTGCGTTAATACCTAGATCACTCTGTCTTTAACCTAGCCGCTACACTCTCTTCTTCTTGCGATTTCTTTGAGGTACGCGATTTCATACGCATCTATGATCTGAGCTTTTTAAGCTTCTATCGATCTTCGTTGTAACGATTTAGATCCGTTCTCGTTTGCTTGTTGTTGATATTCTCTTAGATTTGATCCTGCATTACTTGTATCGCTTGGATTCGATGCTTTTTATTGATTGATCGTTTTGTATATATGATTTGTTCATGATAGCTGATGATAAACTGTTTTCTCGATCATCTGACCGATCTGATTCTGAGATTTTCTTTTCCGTGCAATAGCTGGATCTATCTGAGCGAATCGAATGTGTTGTTAATGATTTTAGTACTCGATTTGTGTTGTGAATTGGTGGGTGATTCGGGAGCAGCATAATAATTCCGGTGTTTCCTTCCGTCTTGTTTTCAAGTCGGGGAAACTCTCCAATTGTTTGCTATAGATCTCTTGTAATTGCTTTGTTTGATTGAATTAGTTAGCTTAGCTCAGTGGATAGAGCACCACAGACTTTTTTTTGTGGTAGAAATCGGTTCGAATCCGATAGCAGCTATTATGTTACATTGAATGTTTTGAGTTAGCTGATTATTTCAGATAGTATTATGTCTACTGTTTTGATCGTTTCAATATGGTTTAGCAACTGCAGATTTACTTGACAAGTAGCCATGGGTAAAGAGAAATTACTCAGTGAAAAATATATTCAAACTAATTGAGTAAGGAAAATCGAATATTCACTTCTTTTAAGATCTTAGATATAAGGAATTTGAAAACTAATACTTGTGGCGAAAAATGAGATTTGTGTTACAACTTTCATCAACTGTTTACCATTTGTGGTTATCTAATCTGATGTACGCATTTCGTTTCTGATTATTGTTTGATGATCTTGTGGTAGGGCCGGATTATATAATTCCAATCTTGCAAGTAAGTGTTGTGACCATGTTTCTTACGAGATTTTTCGGGAGGAGATTCTTGACGGCTGCATCAACGAGATCAGAGTTCGCTACTGCAGCAGCTGCTTCGACGATTCGGACAGCTAAAAATCCTCTTGAAGAGTTCTTTGAGTTCGATAGAAGCCATGACGAAGATAAACCTGTTGTCTACGGTGCGTTCCTATGTCATTTCATTTGGGAGAGTTTATTGATGAATGTTTGTGTCTATCATAATCTGAAATTAGCAAATGTGATGTGTTTTGAAGTTGTATCGTATGAAATATCTGTTTTCTGCTCTTATAAAGTATTTGGAAGATTTCATCTCTCTAGGAATTCATTGGGCTCATGATTGTACTGAAAGCTGCTTATTGTTTGTATGTGGAAACACTGTTTAATGTGGTTAGTCTATAAGTAGTTGCTTCTAAGCATTTCAAATGGTTACGGTTGCTCATATAACTAGTGTCTCTCTATGCCATGGAGTATTTGGAAACTGTTTCTTTGGTTAATGGGTTTTAGGAACATTTTGTAATCATTTGGGTGTTAGGTCGAGGTTGGAAAGCTTCAGAATTACGCCTTAAGTCGTGGGACGATCTTCAGAAGCTGTGGTATGTTCTTCTGAAAGAAAAAAACATGTTGATGACTCAGCGTCAAATGCTTCAAGCCCAGAACATGCAGTTTCCAAACCCTGAACGCATTCCAAAGGTAATACAAAGCCGGCTTTAGCTCTCAATTCGATTCTTCCGAAAACATATATACCATGTTCTTCATTACCATGGGAGATTATTATTCATGAATGTCAACTTTGTCTGCATCTCAATATAGGTGAGGAGATCAATGTGCCGCATAAAGCARGTSCTGACAGAGAGAGCYATTGAWGAACCGYATCCWAGAAGATCAGRTGAGATGAAGAGAATGGTAAATGCTATGTGACCCATTACACTTCTTTTAGCAATCGAGCAGTAAACTCGTAACACTTAGTATTCAAGTGGCTCAAGAAGACGGTATTTTGTCCTTTGGAACTGGTCCAATGATTGTGACTGTTGTGTCTAGCCYTAGAAAATGTTTGTTCGGTAGCWATGCTCATTTCTGTAAACCCATGGTTGGTTTGGTTGATGTTTCTTTCAAGACACATGTTGGTCAGTTGATTCAGAGTTTGTCTTTGAACATAATCCAACTGGTACCCACATTAATGGGAATAAAAACGTTAGTTTCCCCAGTGTTCAAGAAAACGGGTTGATTATACATTACGAATCAAAACAATCTAAACGGCAGACAGATTTCCACTGTGGTGATTACACATTACGAATCAAAGTTCAGTGTTCATTGTAACTCCAAAGTTTATATTGGCTTACGACACAGCACGAAACGAAACAAAGGAACATTTCTTGATTCTCTTTTGATTACGAAAAAAAACAAGTTGTCGAAAATAGAATTAGCAACAAGATATTTCAAACATCACCTAACCTTTTTTAGGGTCAAGCAAAATGGGTGCAAATGGTTAACTACCGAAACCTCAAAACCATTTATAAATTTTAATTAGCCGCCAATATGGGCCCTTAGGAGAAGGTCAGAGCTGGGCCAATAACAGGCTCATGGGCCCAAAAAAATATCAGGAAAAAAGAATTTTGTCGTCTCCATAAACCTTTTTACTCTTGGAAAACTATGGAGTCTCCATAAACCTTTTCAATTGATTTTCCTTGTGTGTGGTCGTGAC